GAATGCCCTTCGATCAAATTTTAGGGCTCATCGCTTCAGAATGGGACAATGTCCAAGTTCGCAAAAGCAAAGAGCTGGGGCAATGCCCAAATGGAGTGGAGGGGGTTCTGCCCAAGGAGTACATGATCATGGGCATTGGGGTCAAAAATGACCACATTTTCCAGGGCATCATCTATGGACAACCGCGCCATCCCCTCATGCTCTGCGCTATCAATCACGCTTTCAGCAGGCAAATACTTGCCTCGGTCGCCAACCTGGACTACATGATCTTCTGCAAGGAACTTTGGAAGCTCCTCACGCACGACATGGGCCACACCCCAGTGCCAGGATGGAACCAGACCCGCCAGTTCGGACCGGTGTATTTGCTCCGCGAGCGACATTCAACTCAGCTCACCAAGTCCAAAGAGCTTGAGTCTGATGGTCACTACTTTGAGACCCGCGGTCAGGTTCGAGTTGCATTCACCCGCTGCTGGAGCTGGCGAAAAGGCTTCAAGGGCGACCCCAGGGCAGCTCAAAGAAATGAAAACTCTCTCATGCAGAGCGTGCCCCAAATCGTTTCGGAGGTCATTGAAGCCGGTGGCGCTGCCTCTGCAGCACCCCATCCAGCAAGAGCGGGAGCAATGCTCACCAATGCAGGCGTCAGAGTTGTCGGCGAGACTGTGCTCAGCAGCCTCGAACGGGGTGATTTCGACGCGATTATGGCGGCGGTCGAAAAGGAGCCGCAGTACCACGGCATTTCGGCCGAGGCTGTCCTTCGCAACATCCCCCGAGGCCTCTGCCTTCACCCTGAAGATCCTGACTGGCTTTCCTGCCGCTACTGTGAGCGCGGCGGCCGACGCTTGAAGTTCCCAAATGAGTTGGGAGTCACACACCACTTCATGCAATCCCGGCACGACCGATCAGTGCCCGAGCCACCAGGCCCCCCGCCTCGCAACAGTATGTGGTCGCAGCGCCCAGCCGAGCCTGCAAACCCTCCCTCAGCTGCAGCCATTGCAGCGTCAGGCCAGGCTCCGCCACCACCAGAACCCACGGCGGACCGTCCGCCCCAGTGGAGACCCACAGCGTCGGTGTCTAAGGCACGCTTTGGGCTCGGTCTCCCTCCCATTCCGCCAGGTCCTACCCCACAAGCGCAGGGCCACCGGCCTCTTGCAGCGAAAGAAGAACAGGGGGTCAATGACCAACCGGCGGATATCAAGGATGAGACACACGTCACTGCCGATCCCACGTTGGGATGGGCGGAAGACACTGTGGGCACGCCCGACACTCCGATGCTGCCGGCGGGCACACCGCAGTCACACAAGTCTGCTGGCCCTGGCCAGACAAGCGATCGGCCTTTCAACGCATTCTCAACCCAGAATGTGACTCCGACAGCTGCCCCCACCGAGGAGACCGTCCCACAGACCCCAGGCCCGGCTGACACCATAGCCTCATCCCCTGTGGATGCCCCCTCTACGCGTGCAGAGGTCAAATACCAGGGACCGGTCACCACGACCAAGCTGGTGGAGTACAGTGTCAACCCCTCTCCAGAGCAAGAGGCAAATCAACTGCCAAAGAGAGATCAGATTATTCACATCTGCCAGTCTGACCAGATGCTGGAGTGGGTCCATGCCTTTGCGACCATTTCCATTATGAAGGAGCAGGCTATCGTGGGTGGCCTCACAGCCTCTGAGCAGGTCTACCTTTGGACCAATAGGTTTCGAGCACTGGGCAAGGTGCCGTGGATCTTCGCCCCGATCAAGAAGGTCGCCACCGACAAGGATGCCAACTGGCTTGACATCACGCAAGCGCGGCTTATGGTCGGGGCCAATGGCCAATTCACACTATCCATTGGCCAAGATGATCGCTACACCGAGCTCAAGTCCACCACGACCTACTATGGCATAGTGCATGCCCTTTTTCAGAAAATGTGGGATCATCCGGACATGAGCGCATTGCTCGAAACGGATGACAACTTCGAGATCGTGGCCTCCACATTCAAGTGCATCTATGACCAGTCCTCCAGGAAAAGTGGGGGTCAAAATCGAGCCATCTTCTACCAGCCTCGGGAAGGACACGTTGTCCGCAAGCTCCGCATCGAACACAACAAGGGCGACACGCCCACATACCAATGGCATCGCCAACGCGAGCTACGGGAGCAGCGGGAACAGCGAGACAAGCGCTCTGGTGAAGAGACACAGTCTCACACAGATAAGCGCTACAGAGACGGCGATGCCTGGACCCGAGGAGGGTGGTGGAATCGTGGCTCGGACTCAGGGGCCAGTGACAGCCGCTCCTGGCACCAGTGAGCCCCAACTTCGATCACCGGTGCCAATGGCAACCTATACAGCGAAAAACGGAGGCCATGCCTGCACTTATACTTCGTTTCTTCCGGCATGTACTGACGGCCTTTCTGCTGATCGCCGCCGCTGTCAGAGAAAAACACGCCTTGCCTTCTGCCAGTCGCAGAACTGTGCCTCTGCAATCAGTGCTGCATAATCACTATCCTCGCGCAGGTACATACAACAATCTGAAGCTTGTAGCCTGGCCGCCTACCAACTTGCTTCGGCTGACCACTGCCAGTTAGCCTGACGCCGGTAGGCCGCCAACACCCAAAGGTCTTCGACCAGGGCTGTTCAGCTATAGGGTCTGAGTCAGTTTCACACCATGTGAGTGCACCGCGGCAATCGCCCGCTATGTGCTGAGCCCGCTCGCACAGCGTTCAATTGAAAAATAGTAGTAGTAGTAGTAGTAGTAGTGGTAGTAGTGGTAGTAATGGTAGCAGCAGTAGCAGTAGCAGTAGCAGTAGCAGTAGTAGTAGTAGTAGTAGTAGTAGTAGTAGTAGTAGTAGTAGAAGTAGTAGTCGTAGTAGTAGTGGTCGTAGTAGTAGTAGGAGTGGTAGTGGCCCTGATCAGGGGACCCAAAAGATATGAAGTAAAACTAAACGCTGGGGCCCTGAACCCTACGCCCGCCGCCTCCTGTTCTGGAGTGCCAGGCACCCTAAACCGTAACCCGGGTTTCCCGTAAAATTTGGGGACCTCGGCGAAACCCTAGGCCTGGCTTCACCCTAGGCCTGGAATCACTTGTCTCGCAAGAACTCGGTCGAGAACAAAACCTCAGTCGCACCGCTTGGATGGGAAACAAGACGCGACAAAAGATTCTGAAAACAAGCCCGTGTCCTCCGGCACTGGAGGTTGGGAGCTGACTTAAACCCACCGCTGGGAGGACTGTGAACCCTAAACCCCGAATCCAAACCCTTGCAATTGAAGCCCGGCTCTTGAGGCTAGCTGGCAGCATAAGGTGAGCGTCGACTTGACAGGACACACATCAAAATCTGAAACCAAAGCCTAAGCCATTACTTCGAGCACCGAGTGCCACGGTCCAGCTCCCTGGGTTGGGGGTTTGGGGCTTGGGACCCGTTTCGGATTTAGGATTGTAAGTCTGGGCTTAGTAAAGGTCTACAGTGGAATAGCGGTCCGGGAAAGTTGACCGTGGAAAGGGGAAGTTAACGAAATCGACTACCGGATCCCTGCCGCAACCAGCTCTACGGCTTATGTGGACACGCCTTTCAAACAGCAAAAACCAAAGAAAGTGAGGCAGCCCTCACAGCTTGCCCGCGAGATCATTTTGTAGCTGCTTGTGAACTGAGGAAGCGGTTTGTTGTGAACAAGTTTCTTTCTCGACATTCTGGAGCCTGGACCCTGTGCAGCGCCCTGCTACTGTAATACTCTTGGCTCTTCTTTGGTGTCCAGCGGCCTTTTGCGTTAACTCTGGATCCTGGACCCAAGCCTTGCAATGAGCTCCCGCGCTGTCACGTCCAGAAAGCCCGGCACACAGGTCTAAAGGCTCGGGGTTGAAAAGTTTAGAGTTTAGATGATTAGGCGGCGGAGGTTCAGGTTTTAGGCTACTGTTAATTCGGTAGTTTCTAGGAATGGGATCCGATCCCGGGACCCACGGTTCAGGTTTTTAGGGGGGACCTCTACTTGGGAGCTCTTCGCTGCTTTGCTAAAAGTTTAACTTTTTGCACAAAAAACCCACAACAAGAATTCCCTTCCGCACATGTGCACTTCCATCAAACAGACGCCCTTTTTTATGCCACATCCGCCCGAGCTTTCACCGGATGCGCCCAGAGCCTGGCCCAGAGACAGATGCAACAATGACGCATGGAATGGAAGCGGCTGGTGCAGGCAATGCTTTCGGTCAGTCGGATTCCAAACATTTTTTCAAGCAAACTTCGCACAGCCACTGACTGAGAAGTCTTTAAAAGCCCAGCAAGGATCAAAACGCTGGCGCTGCTCATCGTCGGATCTCAAGGATTCACTCGGCACCATCTGAATCCGAAGCAAGATCCTGATCCGCCGCGGAACCGACTCGTCCATGCCATGCAAAGCCCCCGGACTTGACGGCTGGGATGTGCCTTTCTTGAAATCCCTGTCTCTCGAGGAAGTGCACACCCTCGCTGAGCTGTGGAGGGCGGTGGAGCTGGAGGGCAAACTGCCTCACCAAAGCTCCTTTACCCAGTACGTCATGCTCCCAAAAAACGAACGGGTAGGCTGATGTCGACGTTTTTGAAACTCGGCATCAAGTGCAGATGGGAGCTCGCCAGCTCCTGGATCGAGGCCAACCGGGCGTCCCTGTGGTGGGATTCGGCCCTGCCGTCCCGCAGCACCCATGACGCCTCGCTGCGCCGCGCTTTCTTGTATGAATCGTGCCGGGTCGACAAGGTGCACCGCTGCACCATCTTTTTCGATTTAAGCACATTCTACGAGCGAGTGAGCCACGAAAAGTTGTGCGAGGAAGCCTCTCTCTGGGCCTTCCCGCCGCTTCTTTTCAACTTGGGGATGGAAGCGTATCGTGGCGGGCGCATCGTGACCGCCGACTCCGTCGCGTCGCCGTGTCCTCCAGCTCACGCTGCAATCTTGCCCGCTTGACCTTCAAGTCGTTGAGCTCGTCTGAGTGGGGAAGTTACGGCAACAATCTGTAAGGAGTAATAGTAAGATAACCTCGGCAAAATAGCGAACATGTTAAATCACTGTCATGTGGCATTCTTGGTAGTCGATGTGCCGGCTCAGGTTGCTCAACTGCGCAGGCTTGCTACGCTTGGCCATCTGGCGCATGTAGTCGGACAAGGCCATTGCATCCTCCTCTCCGGGCGTGAACATCACGTGACCCTTCTTCACCGTGAGCTGCTGCGACCACTTGGTGCTGCTTGGCACATTGTATAAGTCAGACATAGGCATACGACTCACAGTCTCATCATGATGCACCATGCTCGGTGGAGGCGTGGCTTGGGAGTTGAACCATTTCACATCATTGGTGGTGAGATTGCCTTGGGTGACCCAGAAGCCCCAAAAGCGAGTAATTTCCAGACTGCTGAACATGATCTCGTCCTGGCCATTGGGATTGGCAGCATCGTTATGCCGCTTCCCACTCGGCTTCTTGCAGAGGTTCTTCATAATGTAGGCTGCAGCCTGTGCCTGGAGCTGCCCTGGAGCTCGGCCACAATCACCAACTTGCAAGAAGTTCCAGGAGCGCGGCTCCATCTTCAAGTCCGGGCCTGAGCTTGATGACAGACTCATACGGCTTTTACTGGCTCTGATGCTGAATACTCACCTGCTGCCAAGGCACAATCATACACGACAGCCATGCTAGTCATCCAAGTCTTGAGCGAGATGTGCTGGACCATGCAATCCGGATCGGCGAGTCTGAACTCCGGCACGCTGAAGCCCTCTCCCACATTGGAAATGAAGCCCGCCTCCCATGCCCACTGTGTGGAGTGCACTGTGCACGAAATGATTCTGAACTGCCTCTGCTTCAAGACAGCCACCACCTCATACGCAGTCTTCGCTCGGCTGCTGTACTTGTGGTTCAGCTCACCATCGGAGAGCTTGTGCTTGAGCCTAAGCTCTTAACAAATACCTACGAGCTTTGGAATCCATACCGCCCCGAAGCAGTGATCCAAATAGGATGCGGAAAAAACTTTGCCCGAAAACATTTACAGTACAAGCCATGGGCCTTATGGTCACATGTTCATTGGTAGCGGGGTTGGGATTCAGGTTTATATTCGGTTCCACACGCGAGTTTGGCTTCAAAAGCATGGTTTCACACCCGGATCAAGATGCCACAACATTTCCCTTCTTTAGGAAACTTCGTGCAAGCAAGAGGCCCCCTGACACTATCGCGAATCCTCCAGCAAATCGCAGCACAGATAGTTGGATAGAACTGGACGCGGTTCTGGCTCTTCTCGAAGATCACAGTGTCTGCAGCATCGATTGTCTCCGGCGTTCTCGGGAACGCGGCGTAGCCGATCAAGGCACGCTGAGCGGAACCTTCGCAAGCCATAGCCATCTTGCACCAACAAGCCAAGTCCGTATGGGCAACGATCCGATGTGCTACGATCCGATGTGTTGCGATTGGTAGCGACGGCTCTGCAAGTGGTACAAACAGTAACCGTCTCGACAGTACTCGCCGAGCAGCAGCCTGGACCGATCCTGGAACAATGGTTGTCCACTCTGTGCAACGCACGATAAGGACCTGACTCCGAGATAAAACTAAAATAGACAATACTCGCTCAAGATTGCGTTTCAATTAATAGTGAGCTGGGCACCGGCAATAGGACTGCATGGCACAGCGGAGGTTCACACTCTCACTCATTTTGAGATTGCCATGCCATCTCAGCGAAGCCGTGCTGTCCGAAGTCTCTGCGGAATCAAAGTTCATGTGAAGGATACACATCTATTGTTTAAGTTTTCTTGCTCCCTGGCCTTTGCCACCTCATGTCATGTGTCCCGCCACAAAACTCCTTCACATTCCCGGTCGGCGATTTATTTAAATCTCGCCAGGGTCGTCAAGCTCAACAGGAGGCTCTTGCTCGACGTCTGTGTACGACAGAACCTCGGCATTCGCATCCCTTTGCTCAGGGCTTGTCACCAAAAGCTCCGCTCCGCCTCGGCGCGACTGACTGCCATCCGTTTCTCCACCAAGAGATGCCGTCTTGGTCAACGCGCGGACTTTCCTTGTCACGAAGCCACTGTCCCGCCTGCAGCTAATGATGTCCTGCAGCTGGGCAGCCACAACCTGAAGATGCATACGTTATCTACTCGCAGCCGTTACTTTATTGCCCGGCTCACGTAACTGAGACCCCAACAGTCTCACGGATCAGGGTTGTGTGCACTGTGGAGTTCGTGATGCCAAAGTAGTGCCGGCCTGCCCGTGCTGCTGCAAGGCAAGCAACACCGGAACCAGCGGCCAGATCGCCGACGACGTCGTTCATCCCGGCCGAGGAGTAGAGATGAATGAATTCATCGAACACCTCTTCCGGGCGCTCCCATTGGACCAAAGTCACGTACTGCTGGCGAGGCTCCTCCTCTTCTGAATCAGACCCAGCCGCAGCCGGTTGTTGCGGCTGCTCCGGCTCGGTGCTCGTGGAAGCGAAGGAGATGTGACTGAAGATCTCTTCTTTCACTTCCCTGGTCACCTTGTTCAACTCGAAGCTGGCAGCGCTTCTGAGGCTCAGGTTGCTGAAGCCACGAACCTCATTGGTTCCCTGCATGTCCACGAATCGCCGATGCCGCAAAGGTAGCTCTTGCATCCGCTCCTTACCCATGATGAGGTAGCAAGTCTCAAGCGGGCCAACGGAGCAAGGCGAGCAAACGGTGTGCTTCTTTCGCATGCTCAACTCACCATTGTGATGTAGGAGACGTAGAACGGGTGCCCCCCGCTGGCTGATGAGTTTGGACTTCACGGCCTTCGTGGCAAGATCCTTGATGAAGCCCGCAGTCTTGCTGCACCTCCCGTCGAAGACCACGACCAAGTCTTTGTCCGGGCGAAAGTATTTCTCTTCGAACAGGACATCCCTTACCGCCGCGAACATGTTCGGGTGCCCAACGGGCGCAGCTGCCAAGCTTTCACTCGTGGAATAATACCTCTTCGGATCCACAAAGAGCAGCAATTGCCTGTCCTTCGCGTGCTCATACATGTCCCGCAACCCCTGGCGCAGATCCTTCTGGACGCGCAACACCACTTTTGCGACAATCAACTGCCTCGAGAAGGACAACGACAGCGCAGTTCGGAACTTTGACTGCAACGCATCCTCATTTTCACTCCTAGGCGGCAGTCTTTCAGCGGCGGTTATCAAAATGGCTGGGCTCTGTCCCGCAGCAGAACGGCTGGCAGCACTGCTGTCAGAAACAGTGAAACAGTGCATCATGTCGCTTTGAGCTTGCCAAGACCCTCAAGTGCAGCAACCAATGCCACAGCTAGGGTTGTAGTCGTCATCGAATTTCCCATGAGCTCCTTCGCCTGGGTCGCCGTTAGCCCTTCCAGCGTATATGACTTTGGATGCAGCCCGTGCGTGTGAAGCAATTCCTTAGCTTCTTCTTGACAGAAGTCAATCGTTATTAGATCTGTTGCGGAATCTGAGCTTCGATGCCTCCTGGAGAAGGGACCGATGAAGCCGGTATGACCAAATGAACTGCTTGTTGTGAGCGCGGGGATGCTGCCGTCGAAAGCGATACGTCCTCGATTCAGGCCTTGCCCAACCTCAGCTCTTACAGGTCAGTGAAAGCTGTTGTCGGCACAATCAAACTTCAACTTCTACCTTCATGGCTCGGCTTGAGAGGAGCCACATTTGCAAGTGGATGGACGTGAGGATCATCGATAGCGACATCGCCCTGAGCTAGCGCCACACGCACCACCTCATGATACATGCCAATTTGCGCCCATAGCCACGGACTCAGCCCTGGTGCCAGCTGCGACTCTCGGGTTCTGGGGAGAGTATAATCCTTCGTCAGCTTGTGATCGGTTCTCTCGCTGGCCTTAATCCTTGCGTTGGCCACGGCAGTGGCATACTTCCCCTCCGCAACTGACTTGTCTTCTTCAGTCATGCCCACAGGCATGACATGATCCACGAAAAACTGGCTTTGTTGTGGCTCTGACAGCAAGAACTGATCTATGTGATGGGTTGTTTGCAAGGTATCGAGCCTCACAGCTTGATCCACTCGCTCTTTCATGCGGTCGCACATGGCCTGATTGTTGCCGGCACCAAGAAAATAAACAGGCGAACGTCGGTCAGGCAGTACAACCTGAGCTTGTGGCTCCCACTGCAAAGTGCAAAGAAAAGCTGTCATGCACCTGCACCTGGCTAAGGCAAGGCGCGGAGCCGATTGAAACCACGTGCCAGGAATACAGCCCACGGCTGAGGAAAGTTGTCCGAATGACGAAGACAACAAAACTGCACAGCGGAACCATAACCGGATCATTGCACAGCGGACCCTGCACCGAATCAAGCAAAGGGCACACCACGGCCGTGTCTGAGCCTAAGTCAGATCAGCCAGAGTTGACGACGGGCATGTCAGGGAGTTCGACCTCTTAAGCGATGGCTCCTCGGAGCCATCGCTTAAGAGCCCCTTGTGGTCAGGGCCGTGGGCAGTTTGTGCAGCGAAGACTGAAAATCATGACATCCTTTCGATTTAGCACACGGGTGTTTCATCGTGGAGGTCTTAAGCGACGGCTCCCAGGGGCCATCGCTTAACTTGGCATTCGCATTCCAGAACGAGTTAAGCGATTGATTCTTGCAAAAGTGCACGGGCGGTGATGCATGTACGGCTGGGGCTGCCACCTCGTCAATGCCCTTCACCACAGCCGCTCGTAGATCATCCGGCCTGGGCGAATGTGTTGCTTTAGAAGCATGTTTCTTTCCGCAAAGGATCCTTTCAGAGTTCCGATATGGGTTCTTTCAATTTGTTTGAAGGGCTTTCCAGGCTTGGGGGTACGTGCTTGTGGGCTTAAGCTTTGAGGTTCGTCTAACACTGTCTCAGGGATTTTGGAAATCGCGGCGGGGCGCGTTTCTGGGAATCTGAGACTGGGAGCAGATGGCATATATTTCACGTAACCTGAAGCCTGCAGCACTCAGCACAAGGCACTGACCCGGCTCACGTGGTACCTTCGTAATGCACATGAAATTACAGAAGCCGGCTTTGACCAAGCAAAACTCAAACTGACGTTTGCTACCAAACTGACTTGCCTAAGGTTGAGACATTTTATGTCTACTAAAATGTTTGAAAACCAAATACTTTCTTTTATGGTTTCACTATGATTTCAATATGATTTTCATTTATGGTTTTTTTTATGAAATATTTATGGTTTTGGTATGATTTAGTATGAACCCATAGTAAAATCATATTGAAACCATAAATTTTCCATATATTTATGATTTCACTATGATTTCACTATGATTTTACTATGGTTTCACAGATTGCCCTTGATTCCATAATATTTCCAATGATTTTTATGGAATATTTATGGTTTTGGTATGATTTAGTATGAACCCATAGTAAAATCATATTGAAACCATAAATTTTCCATATATTTATGATTTCACTATGATTTCACTATGATTTTACTATGGTTTCACAGATTGCCCTTGATTCCATAATATTTCCAATGATTTTTATGGAATATTTATGGTTTGGATATGATTTAGGATGACACCATAATGAAGTCATATTAAAACCATACATATACCATAATTTTGCATATATTATATTGATGATTACACTATGGTCTCCCTATGATTTTACTATGACCTTGATATGGTTCAACCGTTCCTTTGATTCTACAATATTTCCATTATGATGGAACATGCGACATTTGTGACATCAATATGGTTTGCAATATGAATTCAATGTAGGTGCAATCTGAATGGCCTGAAATTTATGGAATCGAAATGCTTTCACCAGGATTTGAATAGGATTTCAGCCTTCTGGCAAACCATTACAGGCGCAACTGGCCTTACCATGATTTCCTTACAGTCGCTGTTGAAAGCATACATTCGGTATGGCATTGCCGATCTCACTACACGATGTGAAACACCAAAGATGGTTTCAGTCCGACTAAATCAAATAAATTTCTGCATGAACTCTATCATGTAAACGTAAGTGGTATGTCTAGTCCAGTCTTTGAAAGCTGAAAAAACGAGCATTGATTTACTTGAAACCTTTCCTCTTCCCATGCCGAGAAGCCGCGAGTTCTGAAACTTCAATCGCGAACATTTGAAACTGCGCCATTCAATCATATGTCTATGGTCTATGGGCCATATGGCGATGTATGCAAAAAAAACACTCAATAAGACCGGTCAGTAGATTTGGGCATGGCATGGCACAACCATTGTATCAGATGCTTGGGGGTGCGACATCTCATAGTACAAACAAACTGCACTCCAGGGAGTCATCCATACCCCCTTTATAAATGGCCTGGCAGTCTTCTAGTTCCAACGGGCTTTCGGATTGCGAAATAGAGATCGAAACTTCAATGCAGTAGATTCAGCAGATGGCCAAAACTGGAATCGGCTCTATTTTTCACTGTGCGGTCAGTCGCGCGTGCCTGAATCAACAGGCGGCTCACGGCTCACGGAGAAGACTTCAAGACGCAAAAGGTGGGGCCAGAGGTCAAAGTTCTACTCTATCAGCTATCATCTTGTGTAATCCTTCAATCTGCTAACCGCGGTGCCCCGAGAGCCCTGGGACCAACATCGGCCAAAAGCTGCTAAAAGTTCAACTTCAGAGCCCAGGGATTGCACCAACACCCCAAGCCCCAGGGCCGAAATTAAAAACCCACACGGTGGTCGTGTGGGCGCGTGTTTAAAGCGGGTATCCACTTCAAGAAAACTGTGCTGCACCTGGAGTGCACATGCCCATCGAACCGGATCACTTCTGAATTGATAGGTCTGATAGGTCTGATAGGTTGCCAGGCTACAAAATAAAGACATTGCAACATATTGCACATGGCTGTTACCATCCATCCTGCATGCCCTCTTTCACGCAAAAGCCGGAGCAACACCCCAAAAAGACGTACATTCCACCTGCTACATTGCTACATTTGTCCGCCCACGAAGCATCTGCAAAACACCTAGAATCTACACTGAATATACAGAAAACCTGATTCTCAATATATCACAATAAAACCGCTATGTGAACGTTTTCAACCCGGCTGATCTGTAAACTCCGGCATTGGGCTTGGTATGGCTGGCGAAACCACCTAGCAGGCAGCTAGTTGGCCACTCTTTAGCACAATAACGGTGATTAAGCAGACGCTAACCCTAAACCCCCTAAATTTAAACCCTGAACCACACCCCAAAGCATAGGACCTAGGACCTAGGAACACCAAGACTTGACTGACATTGGAACGTTTGAACAATTCATGGTCTGATGTCACCTGCTCAAAGGGCATGGTCATGATGAGCTATCAGCCTATCGTCGCCCTGGCGGAATTGGCCAGCGTTTTATGCACGAGGTCCTCATCTACTTGTCCCCCACACATCTCACCGAGCTGCCCTCGGATAATGTCTTTGGCCCACTTTTGGGTGCCAGCACTGGCATCCTTCAGCTGGGACAAAGCGACGATCAGAAGACCCTCGCACTTGAATGCCAAACCCTTGCTCAAGAAATTTTCGGCAATGGGGAGGTAATTCTTGAACAGGTCAGTGTTCTTGAAGTGGCTTTCGCCGAGATCCGTTGCAAACTCCTTTGTCTGGTCCACAACCTGGCATGGGCAAATGGGCATGGTCGCCTCCGGATCACTCTACGTTGCGAGGACTCTAGGGTTTAGGGTTGGGTTAGGGTGGTTTGAGGTTTTAGCTGGTTTTAGCTTTCGACATGTAGGACCTTAGGAAGAGGAGAAACCAGGTCGACAAGGCCCCAACCTCGACATAACGACAAACGCCCGAAAGAGTGAACCAATACCCGTGATTTCATAGGCATAGGCATAGCCACCATAGTGAAGGAACACGAGGATATGACATGATAAACACATCACATTGCCACACCGACAGAAGCCACGACCAGAACAGGATACAGAACCCATCACATTTTAAGTAGTAAGTAAGTAGTAAAGGACTCAACTATCAACACCATGCCCGGACCAGGGTGCCATAAGAAACAAGTGCCAGCAGCTGTGTGAACTTGGCACACACCAATGACA